GCTCGGAAAAATCCTTGTATGAGAGTGTTGTGAGTACATGTATCACCGACCAACCCTCTTCGAGACATTTCATGAAAGAGCTTCATACCCTCGTCAACCTTATTACACTTGCAGTAACCATTTATAAGACAATTAAAAGTCACTGCATTTGGATAACATCCTTTGTTAATCATAGAATCGATCATTTGTCTCGCCTCATCAAGGCGATTTTGCATGCACAACCCATCGATCAGTGTATTATAAGTAATAGTATCCGGAACTAAACCTCTTCGGATCATCTCTTCGCACAATTCTTTGGCCTCCAGGAACTTCCCCTCTTTAACGAATGCATCGATCAATATATTGAAAGTGACAACATTAGAGAAGATTTTTCTTTTGGCCATATCATTCAACAATCGGACAGCATCGTTCCATCTGTTGAAAACGCAAAGGCCGTTTATCAAACAATTGTAGGTGACAACATTTGGAGCAATCCCTTTGCTATCCATCTTTTCGAAAATGCTCAATGCGACATCTATATGTCCACATTTGCAAAGACCATCAATGATCGTATTATACATTATGACATTGATCTCAATGTTCCTCTCCTCCATCTTCATGAGCAGATTCAATGCCAAAGCACAATCACCCGACTTGCAAATCCCATTGACAACAGCGCCATAAGTAACTACATTTGGTTGATACCCCATCTTTAACATCTCATCAACTAAACTCACGGCTTCAGAAACTCTCCCCTCCCGACAAAGTCCATTGACCAAAGTGTTATATGTCACAACATCAGGTTTATATCCCTCTTGTACCATTTGGTCAACCCAACTTAATGCCACAGAAAGGTTCCCTTGGATACAGAATCCATTGATGAGGGTATTGAACGTGATAACATGAGGCTTAGTTATATGTCACAACATCAGGTTTATATCCCTCTTGTACCATTTGGTCAACCCAACTTAATGCCACAGAAAGGTTCCCTTGGATACAGAATCCATTGATGAGGGTATTGAACGTGATAACATGAGGCTTATAACCCTTTTTTATGATTTTCCCCAAAACCGAAAGGCCCAAAACCACTTGACCTGAGCGGCAGAATGCGTTGATGAGAATACTCAAAGTGTAGTCGTCATGTGAAACCCGGAGCAATTCCATTCTCTTGCAGAGAGAAATCACAACATCATACTGTTTCATTTTGGCGATTGCAGCCAGTAATTTATTAAAATCGACAATGGAAGGCAAGGGACGAGACCGAACCATGTGGTCGAACAAAGCGACAGCCTCATCTACATTACTACAACCATGAAACCCAAATCTCAATCTGTCTCTGTAGTCAACACCAGAAGAAGCCAGTCTCCGACAACTTAAAACATAGGAACGATCTGAGAAAGTGTTAAGAGTACCTCTTCGAAGGCGTTGATGAGTCTGAACCAAACTGGAAGCAGAAGCCGATGTGAAAGCGGCCATAGTCCGGACCATTCTCGACATCTCAGCTTCAATTCGTAGACGGAATGAGAAATCGGGTAGATTGCAATTTCGGCTTCTTCTGTAAAACCCTGGGTGGAAGCGGCGGTCACAGCGAAAACTCTTGATGGAGAAAAGCAAATTCTTCCTCTTTTTTTTTTTTTTAAAAAAAAACAAATCATAGGAAAAACTGTAAAATGGGCGAGCAGATTGAAACAGATTTTTTTTTTTTTATTTTGTCGATCATTTTGATGACAAATATTTATAAATATAATTAGATAAAATATAGAGAAATCCAATTACAGGGCAACGGCCAAATTAGGAGAATTGTAGATTGAATCTATAAAAAATATATATACTTTTTCTAAAACTAAATTTTAATCAAAATAAAAATGACCTGAAAAAACGAATTTAAAATATTTGTGTGGTAAAAGAACATAAAAATAATCTTTTTAAAAAACCCTTTTTCTGAAAATTGGATCCTTATGAAACGCAAATCGATATTTAAAAATACAAACAAACATATACTCAATATATGAAATCATAAATAAACAAACGTTATGGGAAATTGAAATGATAATTCCAAACTTAAGCCTTAAATCTGTGTTAAAGAGAGAAGTGAACAATGCGAATATATACATATATATATAAGGATGGATTGTAAAACTCGTGTTGGATTTCATAGATTTGGGCTTTGGAAAGGATGGGAGATTATCAATTTCCAAACCTATTGGAAAAGCATCAATTTCTCCTTATATATTATAATTGGAAGTATGCCTTTATGAAGCCAACTTCTCCACTTCAGACATTAAGAAGCCTAAGCAAGAACACTTTGCTTATAAAAAGCAATTTGACATAAAACAACGAATAGATATAAATTCTTTCTAAAATCAGAATTATGAAACCAGTAAATTTGTTCAACTGTGAAGTTTAGATATGTAAGAACCTTAAACGTGAACATTGTTACATAGCATCAGAATCTCAGAGTACAGATCCAGAAAATTTTTAAGCAGTCACCGACGGAAAACAGAAGAAACCATAAACCCACAAATCAACGCCAATCTCTCCACTTCAGACATTAAGAAACCTTTAGCAAGAACACTTCCAGCAACTCATAACCTTCTCGTTCACCTGCCAGCAATTTCCACGATTGATGAACCGAATAATTTAGAAAAACTGCTAGTATCAAGGCCACGACGCATTTAACGTCCAAACTAAAACCCATCATGTAAATATATTAGTCCTGAGAAGCAGATTTTGATATCTCGACCATTATGTGAATTACGCAGAATATGTCGAGCGATGAAACTTTAAACAGCTAAACAAACCTAAATCCAGAACAAAAGAACACACCTCATTGTCACACAACTTCCATGACCGAAAGCAAGCTCCGCGTTACAGCTCACCGAGAAAGAAGATCCAAAAAACTTTTCTCCAATCTCCCGTCCAATAACATATCAACAACCATTTCCATTGTTGAAACATCTGAAGAAAAACCGCAGCTTCTCATTTCCCGAATAAGCTCGATAACAGTTGCAACATGGCCACCTTTGAGATGACCTCGGATCAGTACATTATACGTACAATCATCTGGCATACAACCAATCTTTTTCATATTCTTAAACAGCTTGTCGGCTTCACCGAGCAAACTTGTTCCACAAAATCCAGTAATCATTGTATTGTACGTGATTACGTCCAGTTCAACCCCTTTATCAGAAAGTTTATTAAACAATCCGAGTGCCTCATCAACCATGTCACCCTTGCACAAACCATGCATCATAACATTATGGACAAAGATATCAAGGTCAATCCCACTCGTTTCCAACTGGCAATACAATCCAAGCGCCTCGTCCAGTTTCCCATTCTTACAAAGACCATCAAGCATTATTGCGTATGTTACAAGATCAAGATCCACACCTTGACTCTGCATCTCTGAAAAGAGTTTCTGGGCGACCTTGACATTGCCCGCTCGGAAAAATCCTTGTATGAGAGTGCTGTAAGTACATGTATCACCGACCAACCCCCTTCGAGGCATCTCATGAAAGAGCATCACACCCTCATCCACCTTATTACACTTGCAATAACCATTTATCAGACAATTAAAAGTCACTGCATTCGGATAACATCCTCTGTTGATCATAAAATCGAACAACTGCTTCGCCTCGTCAAGGCGATTCTGCATGCACAACCCATCGATCAATGAATTATATGTAAGAGTAGTTGGAACTAAACCTCTTCGAATCATCTCTTCGTACAGTTCTTTAGCCTCCAGAAACTTTCCCTCTTTAACGAACGCATCGATCAATATATTGAAAGTGACAACATTAGGGAAGATTTTTCTTTTGGCCATATCATTCAACAATCGGACAGCATCGTTCCATCTGTCGAAAACGCAAAGGCCGTTTATCAAACAACTGTAGGTGACAACATTTGGAGCAATCCCTTTGCTATCCATCTTTTCGAAAAGGCTCAATGCATCATCTATGTGTCCACCTTTGCATAGACCATCAATTATCATACTATAAATTTTGACATCCACCTCAATGTTCCTCTCCTCCATCTTCATGAGCAGATTCAATGCCAAAGCACAATCACCCGACTTGCAAATCCCATTGACAACAGTGCCATAAGTAACTACATCGGGTTGATACCCCATCTTTAACATCTTATCAACTAAACTCACAGCTTCAGAAACTCTCCCCTCCCGACAAAGTCCATTGACCAAAGTGTTATATGTCACAACATCAGGTTTATATCCCTCTTGTACCATTTGGTCAACCCAACTTAATACCACCGAAAGCTTTCCTTGGATACAAAATCCATTGATGAGGGTATTGAACGTGATAACATGAGGCTTGTAACCCTTTTTTATGATTTTCCCCAAAACCGAAAGGCCCAAAACCACTTGACCTGAGCGGCAGAATGCGTTGATGAGAATACTCAAAGTGCAGTCGTCATGTGAAACCCGGAGCAATTCCATTCTCTTGCAGAGAGAAATCACAACATCATACCGTTTCATTTTGGCGATTGAAGTTAGTAATTTATTAAAATCAACGATGGAGGGTAACGGGTGAGACCGAACCATCTGATCGAACAAAGCAACAGCCTCACCGACATTACAATCATGAAACCCAAATCTCAATCTGTCTCTGTAGTCTCCAACACCAGAAGAGACAAATCTCCGACAACTTAAAACAGAGGAACAATCTGAGAAAGTGTTCAGAGTACCTCTCCCCTTGCGATGATGAGTCTGAACCAAGCTCGAAGCAGAAGCCGATGTGAAAGCACCCATTCTCCGGACCATTCTCGCCATCTCAGCTTCGATCCGAAGACGGGATGAGAAATCAGGCAGCAGATTGCGATTCGGCTTCTTCTATAAGCCCTCGACGGAAGCGGCGGTCACAGCGAAAATGGAGATAAGCAGATTCTTCCTCGTTTTTTTTTTTCGGTCATCTGGAAAGGGAAATCGTAGGAAATTTGTAAAATTGGTGAGCAGTGTGTTATACCCAAATATCAATGGGGCAAACAACCAGATAACAACAACAATGAATCCTAAAAATGTATAATTTTTATAAAACTAAAATTAAACAAATCTAACTTAATAAAAATACCCAAAAATCAAGTATAAAAAAATCTTTTAAAAAAACAATATTTGTTTGTTAATGAGAGTCGACTCCTTATAAAACTCAAATCAATATAAAAAGTGAAGTATATATAATTTTGGCAATTGAAACGAAGATTCTAAAGTCAAACCTTAAATTTGTTTGACTGTGCCTTGGCGATAGCAGTTTCTAATATGAATGAAGATCATTATACGAAAATATACGAATGAAGGAATTAAAGTGAATTCGGGAGAATATGTCGAATTAAAACGATAATTTAAAAAGCTAAACAAATCCTAAAACAATATATAACCGTTGTTTAAATGGGTAAACTATACATCATGATAGAGATGTCAAAATTGGTAAATATATAACTGATGAAGGTATTGCGGATACATGTGAAGCTCCAGTCTCGAGTAGAAGCTTCAAAGCTTATCTGAAGACGACGTCGCATTAAGCTCGGTTGCTAAACGAACTCACGTGCGCTTACACACTTTCCATGGTGAAGTCGGTTGTAATCCTCTCACAAAGTTCTGAAACCGTGAGCAACAAATGACCCAAACTTTCACGAGATGACTGCGGATAATCAGACAGGCCTCGTCGTCATCACCATCCGACCAGACCACCCCTATGCTTAGAACGTGAATCTTTTGAATGTTCAAAATTGACCTACAGCAGCTTTGTACGGATCTTGAGCTGCTCTTGTAATGAACCTGTCATCTTTCAAAGAACAAATGAGAGACGTTTTTGCCCAATCTATTACCCGAACAAAAAGGGAACGCATGTCCATAGGCGTTGATAAATATATATACTGTCTGTCTGTCACATAATATATATATAGAAAAATTTATATTATGGAATTTACATATTCTCTAATGCGACGGCATAATGATTCGCGAAAATGGTCTAATTCTATGTTTCTACTATACAACCGTGTCGTTTTAATAACCTATTTTCATCGTCTATGTAAAAAAAATGGTTAATATAATTTCACTTGGGCCTTTGTTTTGTTATTAAGCGTCTATGATAAAATACCAACTCGTCAAAATATCTAAAAAAACTACACAAACATGGCAATTGATAAAGGATAGAGTAAAGCTCTTTCTAATCCAAATTCGAGTTTTTATTTGGAAAATGACACTTACCTGATTATATCGCTAAGTTGAAAGTTCGATGAATTTTTAAATTATTAAAAAAATTATACAAACGTGGAAAATACTCAACTCAGTTAGTTAAATTATTAAGACAAATTAGAGCTTGCAACCCTCAGAGGAATTGGGGAGAGTTCATTCACTGCCTAAAGAGGAATTTCTTCAGTTGGATCAACTGCCTAAGAGATTTTCGAACTGCACCACCAGAAAGGGGAAATACTATCAGATGCCATTGTGAGCATAATCAATTGCAGAAGAGAAAGTTAGAAACCACTAAAAACAATCGGATAACTCTACTCTTTGTGCAGAAGCCCACCAAAAAGAGATAAACTATGTATTAGCTCTGTCCAATTTTAGACAAAAACATCATCCACAAGAGTCCAAGGACTCAGCTTATGACCAATTTACCATAACTGTTTTCAATGTTCCATGCATTGCAAAGGATGGCACGTTATACGTACAGCCGAGCCGATATAAAAATATCCATAGACCCACAAAGTAAGAGTTCTATCAATGTGGTTCTGATGAAAATTCAGAACAGCTAAACAAGCCTAAATTCAGAACAGAAGAACTCACCTCGTTGTCACAAGACTTCCATGACCGAAAGCAACCTCCGCATTACAGCTCACCGAGAAAGAAGAACCAAAAAACTTTTCTCCAATCTCCCGTCCGATAACATATCAACAACCATTTCCACGGTTGAAACATCTGATGAAAAACCGCAGCTTCTCATTTCCCGAATAAGCTCGATAACAGTTGCTACATGGCCACCTTTGAGATGACCTCGGATCAGTACATTATACGTACAATCATTTGGCATACAACCAATCTTTTTCATATTCTTAAACAGCTTGTCGGCTTCACTGAGCAAACTTTTTCTACAAAATCCAGTAATCATTGTATTGTACGTGTTTACGTTCGGTTCAATCCCTTTATCAGAAAGTTTATTAAACAATCTGAGTGCCTCATCAACCTTGTCACCCTTGCACAAGCCATGCATCATAACACTATGGACAAAGATATCGAGGTCAATCCCACTCGTTTCCAACTGGCAATACAATCCAAGCGCCTCGTCCAGTTTTCCATTCTTACAAAGACCATCAAGCACTACTGTGCAAGTTACAAGATTAGGATCTACACCTTGTCTCTGCATCTCTAAAAAGAGTTTATGGGCGACATTGACTTTGCCCACTCGAAAAAAACCTTGTATGAGAGTGTTGTAAATACATGTATTACTGACCAACCCTCTTCGAGACATCTCATGAAAGAGTTTCATACCCTCATCCACCTTATTAGACTTGCAGTAACCATTTATAAGACAACTAAAAGTCACTGTATTCGGATAGCATCCTCTGTTGACCATAAAATCGAACAACTGTTTCGCCTCGTCAAGACGATTCTGCATGCACAACCCATCGATCAATGAAGTGTAAGTAATAGTATCCGGAACTAAACCTCTTCGAATCATCTCTTCGCACAGTTCTTTAGCCTCCAAAAACTTTCCCTCTTTAACGAACGCATCGATCAATATATTGAAAGTGACAACATTAGGGAAGATTTTTCTTTTGGCCATATCATTCAACAATCGGACAACATCGTTCCATCTGTCGAAAACGCATAGGCCGTTTATCAAACAACTGTAGGTGACAACATTTGGAGCAATCCCTTTGCTATCCATCTTATCGAAAAGGCTCAATGCATCATCTATATGTCCACCTTTGCATAGACCATCAATGATCATACTGTAAATTTTGACATCCACCTCAATGTTCTTCTCCTCCATCTTCATGAGCAGATTCAATGCCAAAGCAGAATCACCCGACTTGCAAATCCCATTGACAACAGCGCCATAAGTAACTACATCGGGTTGATACCCTAACTTTAACATCCGATCAACTAAACTCACAGCTTCAGAAACTCTCCCTTCTCGACAAAGTCCGTTGACCAAAGTGTTATATGTCACGACATTAGGTTTATATCCCTCTTTTACCATTTGGTCAACCCAACTTAACGCCACAGAAAGCTTCCTTTGGATACAAAATCCATTGATCAGGGTAGTGAGCGTGATAACATGAGGCTCGTAACCCAGTTTTAGAATTTTCCCCAAAACCGAAAGGCCCAAAACCACTTGACCTGAGCGGCAAAAACAGTTGATGAGAATACTCAAAGAGTAGCTGTCATGTGAGACCCGGAGCAATTCCATTCTCTTGCAGAGAGAAATCACAACATCATACTGTTTCATTTTGGCGATTGCAGCCAGTAATTTACTAAAATCAACGATGGAAGGCAAGGGACGAGACTGAACCATGTGGTCGAACAAAGCGACAGCCTCATCGACATTACTACAATCATGAAACCCAAATCTCAATCTGTCTCTGTACTCTTCAACACCAGAAGAAGCCAACCTCCGACAACTTAAAACAGAGGAACAATCTGAGAAAGTGTTCAGAGTACCTCTCCCCAGGCGATGATGAGTCTGAACCAGACTCGAAGCAGAAGTCAATGTGAAAGCACCCATTCTCCGGACCATTCTCGCCATCTCAGCTTCGATCCGAAGACGGGATGAGAAATCAGGCAGCAAATTGCGATTCGGCTTCTTCTATAAGCCCTCGATGGAAGCGGCGGTCACAGCGAAAATGGAGAGAAGCAGATTCTTCCTCGCTTTTTTTTTTTCGGTTATTACATTTACATGCGTCTGAAAAGGGAATAGTAGGAAATTGTAAAATTGGTGAGCAGTGCGTTAAAGCAGATTAGGCAAAGTTATTTTGATGATAGGGCAAACAACCAAATAATAATAACAATAACAATAGTATGAATCCTAAAAATATTTAATTTTTATAAAACCAAAGTTAATACAAATATACCCAGAAATCAAGTATAAACTGGGAAATATAAAAAGTGTGAGTATATATAATTTTGGTGTTTTTAATGAAATCCGAGATAAACATTATTGGGAATTGAAACGAAGATTACCCTTAAACTTGTTTGACTGTGCCTTGGCCGACAGCAGTTGCTAATATGAATGAAGATCATTCATTTTACGAAAATATACGAATGAAGGAATTAAAGTGAATTCCGGAGAATATGTTTAAATGGGTAAACTATGCATCATGATAGAGATGTCAAATGGGTAAATATACCATGGAATATATATATATATATAACTGATGAAAGTGTGGAATAAGATCCGGAGCTGAATATTGCGGATACATGTGAAGCTTCAGTCTCGGGTAGAAGCTTCAAAGATCATCTGAAGACGACGTCGCATTTAGGAATAACGCTTCCAAGATCAATCTCTCCTCTTTCAACATTAAGAAACCTTAGCAGGAACATTTCCATCATCTCCTAATCTTCTCATTCACCTGCAGCAATTTCCACGATGCATTTAACATCGAAACTAAACCCCATCATATAAACATGGGGTTAATTGATGATAACAGAACTAACCAGTAACCACAAGACTATTAGTCCTGGGATGCAGATTTTGATATCTCGATCATTATGTGAATATATTAATTAACAAATTAAAATCGATTATATGAAAATTTAAACGACTAAACAAACCTAAATCCAGAACAGAAGAACACACCTCATTGTCATTGTCACACAACTTCCATGACCGAAACCAATCTCCGCGTTACAGCTCACCGAGAGAGAAACAAACCGAATAGAGATTCGAGTCCTAGCAGACAAGTTCCAAGCGTTGGAATCCATCCCGAAGTGTGGATACGTGTAGAGGGCGAGGTAATCTTCCTCCCTTTCATGATCAAACGGATTCTTCAATTGAGACAGGCCCCGGATCGATTGAGGTAAGCGTTCTAACGTTTCTATGATTCAATAGAAGCATGGT